GTTTACAACATTAACAAGAAACTGCAGCTCAGCAGCTGGAAATTCCTCTCTCAGTCGTACTAATAATGTATACACTCTCAAGTTAGTTAATTAAATGAATATTCCATTCAAATTGAATGAATTTTGTAGATGTGAACGGTTTTACTGTCACATTCTGTTTCAGATAACTTCTTCGTTATCAGCAACAAAAATATATGGGAATTGGACTGTAAGAAAATTATGCAAATTGATAAAAAGTGGCGTAAGAGCAGTTTACAACCTGAAGATGCCTAATGCGGGAAAGGATGGAGTCAAGTGCATCACGACACCAGAGCCGAAGGTCAGTGCAAACTTGATCGTTCCGACTGCGGGCTGTGTGCAGCTTCTTAGCAGCTTCGCCAACTAAGTCAGTAAGAGCAGCCTCAATGTTCATGTGAACATCCTCTCTGTCAGTCCTCCACACAAACTCCCCATTATCAATCTGCCTCTCAATCTCACCAAGGCCTCTCAGAATGCCATCCGCATCACTCTCGCTTATCAATCCCTATACGAATACCAAGAAGAATGCCAAAAATAAACAAAAACTCATCCATTGGTACTAGGAGTAGTAATTCCAATTCTAGCAGAAGTAATTTCAATTTCAAGAAGCAGAAGAATGAATATATGAGATAAGAATTATTACAAATACCTGGCGAGCGAGCATGGACGCGTGGGCTCGACTGCCCATGATGTCATGCTTGTAAAGGGCTTTGTCGAAGGAAATTGACTCGGTAAACTTCTCGACAGTTTCAGTGACGCTCTCCTCGAACCTTCCGCCCCAAAGCTTGGCCTCCTTGGCGGCAGAGGCGGCAGCGCTCATCTGCATCAAGGCAGTGTTGCGTCTTGGGGTGGATTTGAAAATGGGAAGAAGGGGACTTTTGGTTTGAACGCGAGACGAGAATAATTGCAGATTGTCTGCAGAAGATCTACAAGAAGAAGAAGGGAAAAGAAGAAGTGACTCCATTATAACTTGTGCAAATGAGTTCAAATGGCCGTCATTCAGCCCTTGTTTGAGCCAGCCCCATTCTTCTTTCGATAAAAGAATGAATTTCTTATCACATTTTCCATCGTGCTACTATAAATTTGTTAGATTTATCTGAAATATTATTTTATTAAAGAATGTACAATTGAAATGATGTTAAAATACTATTTAAAAATATAATTTTTCAAAAAATTGAAATCAAACTGGGGTCATTCTCTTTTTGTCTAATTGGCCTTTGACCAAGTTGTCAAAATAAAATCAAATTTAGAGGGATGAAGATTAAAATTAAATTTTTTAGTAAATTGTGATAAAATATTTTGAAAAGTGTGATTGAAAAGACGTAAGTTTCATAAAAAAAATGTGGTTAATATTAGGGTGTGTTTGATTACATTTATTTTTCATGAAAAATATCAGTTTTTCACCCAAATTTCTACTTGAAGTGTTTGATTGCTTTTTTTTCCATGGAAAACATTTTCCAACTTTTGAAAATATACTTAATTTTCCTTGTTTTTAAGGAAAACATTCTTTTTGGGTAGAGGTGATTTTTATTTTCTACAAAAGATAGAAAACATTTTCTTTTTTAGGTGATATTTTTCATTTCAATCAAACACACACTTAATTATTATTTTTATACTTAAATTAAAATCAAATTTTAATCTAAACCAAACATGCTCATTTAAAAGCATGAAAAGACCATTCTAATCTTCCTTGTAAAATGCCAAATTGACGAAGGAATTGAAGATTTATTCACATGAAAACCATTTATCCCATGAAATTGAAAAGGAGGGGGGCGGGGGGTTTGGTCACATCTTCATTCTCTTAGCAAACGTATCTTCTTCCTTTCTCCCGAGACTTTGGTTTCACCAACGAAATTAAAACTATCTTCTTCATTTACGTTAGGGTACAAAGGGCTAACTAAGTAGAGGGAAAATATGAAGGAATTACACAGGAGACGACAAAAAGAGGACGAAGAAGAGGAAAGAAAAGTTGTCAATCATCGTGAAATTGGCTTGTGGCTGAAAAATTAGCCAGAATAAGAGTTCGAAAAAGTCAAGAAATTGATTTCAAGTTTTATTAAATCAGGTGAGGAAGTGAAGGAGGTAATTGTTTATAGCATTGAACTTGTTCATCTCAGAATTTCTGTCCTTTTTATGGTTGTAAATTGGAACACTTAGGGGACATTTATGTGTAAATTAGGATTTATTTTGCTTAGTTTGAAGGTATAAATTCAAATCAAAAGTGGACGATCAAACAACGTGAAATAATGAGTGTATCACAATGATGAAATTCTCTACTAATTACTAGAATTATTGTAAAATGATTAAAAAAAAAAAAAAGGGCGTAATAAGTACTATTTTAGCACAATACACTCTTTGTCCTCTATTCCTCGCAGAGAAATCCATTTTGCCTTCTGAATTTTTAGTCGTATGTTGGATTTTTAAATATTTGCACGTGAATTGACTTATTGGGTAGCAATGGCAAATCGAAACAATGAATAGGTCGAAGAAGGATTACAACCTACGCCTATGATCGAAAATGGGAGACGTACGTGGCACTATTATCAGTAATTTCTACAAGGATAAGCCATTTTTCTTTAGCACCAAATTTTGGAGGTAATATCAAACGTTTATTTAGAAACATGCTTTAATTCTATTGGGCTCTATTTGTTTCCGACTCGATTTGATTGCGTGTAAATGATGTAACCATAAACGCTTCTCAACTTCTAGCTCCTTAGAATTTATTTTTCAAAATTGTTGTTTTATAATGGTAATTTTCCTTCTGCAACAACAATTTTTAGTCGATAACTCTCTTGAATTTTCGATGATGTTGGTTGTGGCTTTCTCCTTGGCTTCGAAAACTGACCCACCTCAAGTGTAATCTGTGAATAGCCATTTGTGGCTTTTTTCCAAAATTTGGCTCTGTTTGTGGCTTTTTGAACATGTTTGTTGGTTCCCAATTGACTAACTTTCTCAGTTTTGCCCCCCCCGGTCCGCCCCTGCACTACGAGATGAGACATTGTTCATGTTGCTGGAGTTGTCAATTTATTTCTTTCAAATCCTAGAAAAGAACATGGTTAGTAGTAAAATAGATACGTAAATATCTAAGAGGTACTTTCTGTATTTATTTGTGCTTTGGCAGTGGACAGATAATCAGATATTATAGGTGATAGTAATTCCAGGATGTCTACGTCAGGATTTTTGATAACCTTTTCAGAAACAGCTCTTTCTAAACAGTCCAGGTTGTAGAAATGTGCAGCTCTATCATCTACAGAAGTTGAACATATTGTCATCAATGAAGCTTGTAATGAAACTTTGTAGACGAAGAAGTCTCTTCAAGAATTTGGATTACAACAAGAAAAGTATGATTTTTTTTATATATTTTTTTAATTATGACGCACAGAGTGCTATCCTACAAGAAATCAACATTTCATTCCAGATCTAAGCATATTGATGTTAAGTACCATTGGATTCGTGATGTACTCTACCACATGAGGCGGAGGGGGAAGATTTATTGTGCAGTCTACCATATGTAGAGTGGACAAAATTAATTTTGCTTTTTCTAACAAGCGGAGATTATGGGCTGCCACAAAGGTGGAGAAAATCGAAAAGAAAATGAAATTCAGATTATCATCTTCCAACCGATGAAGAAGTTTGACAAGACATTATGAAGTAAAATTAAGTTTGTTTTCTGTCGATTAATGAAGTTAAATGGCAAAGAAATGTGGTAAAATTCAAATTGTCTTCTTCTATCGATTGTTTTCCTATTAATAAAGAGTTTGTCATACTTGATAGACAATTTGGAGAGGCTCTACTAGAGAGACAAGAGTGAACATTGTGAGAACTCTACTTTGTGTAGAAAGAAAAATAGGGAGAGTGATGCCTCTATTTAGCCAATGTTATTATGAGTCTTAATCCCATTATTTGTGATATAGTAGAAGTTGAAGTGGATTATTGTCTCGTGATTTTTTCTTTTGCATTAAAAGATTTTTACACATTAAAATAAACGTTCTTCTTATCAATTTATTTTCATATCTCTGACTTTGTCAATATCCATTTTTGTCGTACAAAAAGAAGAAAAAGTTATTTCGCTATGTATTACTAAAAGACGAGTTTTTCCCTACACAAACAACAATCTATCAATCTCTTTTCTCAAATTGAGAAGGTTCACAAGTTCCATAAAAAAAATGTTAACCGGAAAGTCAAACAATGCAATGACGGGGATAGATGGCAAAAGGGTCTTCCACACCTCAAAGGTCATATAGGGAGATTTTTCGATACATTTTGAGCCAATAAACCTTAAATTTATTCACACTTTATAAGCAATTCCATGTGAAGAGGACATCATCATCCATAAATGTAAAGTAAGTCTGTTCATTTTATTTGTCAATATTCAATTTGGTAAGAAAATTATTAAACTTCTTAAAACTGGAGTAAAAAGTAAAAGACTAGAAAGAGAAATAATGGACGGCTCATAAGTGCATCGCTCTTGGTGACTTGGTCACTTCTGCACCTCTATTTCCTTTTCCTATATTCAATAGGCATATTTATTAAATCTCTATTTAATAAAATCAAAATTTATATTTATCTATACATGCTAATGTGTTCAAATATACTCTTTACTTATTCATAATTTAATTTTCTACCTATAAATAAAACCATTTATGAATTCTTTTCAAGTGGAGGCTTAAAATATTGTTATTATAAATATAATATATAAAATTTGTAATTAATATTTTAAGCTTGAAATTACTTAAAGAATGCTTGGGAGTGCTAAAATTAAAATTTAAATGATTATAAACTATGAATTCTATGAAATGTATATATATTAAATGAATATTAGTTGTGAATACTAGAAAACACATAAATGAAAAATATGTTTGACCAACGTAAGTTATGATTTAAAGTAAGCCGAACATATATTATAATCGAATCACATTCAGGTAGAGAAACAAATCCAAAATTGATTAACATAGCAATGTTACATCAAAACTAAAATTTTGAAATCGATTGAGCATAATAGCCAACTACTCATGAAGTTTAAATCGAAATTTCCAAAATCTTTTTCTCTATGGTCATTCCACTATTAAAAGCTTGACATATCAATGTTGAAGTGTTGCCCAAATTCGTTGAGTATTGGGGGCTTGGTTGAAGAGCCCTTGAAGAAGTTCAAAAATGGACTAAGAAGAAAAAGTCGCCACATTTATGGCCACTTTGCGCCCATATCCTAAGCATCAATTTCTTGCTCAAGCATTCAAAACAGGGAGTTCATTGCTTACTGCGTGCGAGCTTGCCACTTGAGCCTAGCTTAGGCTTGTTTTGCGATTTTGATGACGTCTAAGATGCTAAACATTATAATTATGATTCTATATATATTCCATCACTTGTTGGCTCTTTATACAATTAGAACAAATTAGATTTTGATTGAGAGCATCAAATTTTGTAAAGCAACCTATTATTTTGATTTAGTGCATTCTACTTTTCTACCAGTAGTTTTTTCTCTTGAATTTTTAGGTAAAATTTTGTGCTTTTGTATTTGGATTTATTTTAATATTGCCATATTATCTTGTTATCTCTAACAAACTGGTATCAGAGCGAGGTTGATCTTCAACTATTACGATAATGAAATTTGACATATAGCTTTTGGATAGCAACACGAAGTTTTCACTATGGCAGATGAAGATGCAAGACATGTTCGTGCAGATAAATTTGAATGATACCTTGTTAGTGTATGAGTTACAAAAACCAATTCATCCCCTCTTAGTTAGTCAATATTGGGCTTTCAATTGGTATCAGAGCAGGAACTCACTTTTAAAAGATTCTACAATCTTAAGTAATGGCTAACCGAGTTTTTCAAAATATTTAGGGGCACTCCACAAACCGGCCTCCTTTCTTTAATAGCACACATTACAACTCTTGGAAGGCTCGAATGATGATATATGTACAATCTATTGATTATAATATTTGGGACGTTATAGAATACGGTCCATATATTCCCACTAAGACTATTAAAGTAGATGGTAGACCAGACAAAATTATTTCTAAATCTAGGGAAGAATATGATGATGAAGATAAGATAAAACTATCTATAA